ATAAAACCATGTTGACATGGAGAAATAACCGATCTACAAAGGTGCTGTAAGTGAGGGTGATAATGTTTTTAAATAATTTAGGGATGGCCGACAACTTAGAGATTCCTCTATAATTGCTGGCATCCAATTTGCTACCTTTTTTGTGGAGAGGAATAATAAACGATTCCTTCCAAATAATGGGAAAGTGGGAGTTTCCAAGGACAAGGTAAACAATTTCAGAAGGGATAGCACAGGCGTCGGCACAATACCTGAGCACACAGCCAGAATCCGTCGGGACCTGGCGAATAAAGCGGCTTGACACGATGAAGATCCAAAAGGAGAGTATTAGTATAGGCTAGGACAGAAAATTAAGTTTAATTGGGTATGTCGTAGGAATAGGTCTGGTGTAGATACGAAGACTAGAATAGGTTGTTGAAAAAACTGCGAAAATAGATCGGCTATGGCCTGATCATTATTTGCGGTAGTATTTCAAATGAAAGCGAGAAGGATTAATATAACGGATAATATAACGGAACACATTCAGTAAAAAATGAATCATGGCACTGTAAAATATCGACGGCAACTGCCATGTCATGCACATGTACTCGTTTATAAAATTATTCAGCCGTTCCAAGTCCGTTTGCGAAAACATAGACTTTATTGCTGGACGGTCAGAAGTATTCTGTACGTCACACCCAATATCAAGAGTCACATCGAAAGTTGGATGATAAGGATCTTCGGGCTGCGTCAGAGCGCCACCCTTGCTAAACTGACTCTCGCCGGATCAGAGACAAAATAACAAACGAACAATCGCACTAAGAAATGTTGGTACATGGTTGACTTCAGACTGCGAAATATCAAACAAGCCAGCGATAAAGTCATGTTGTGTAGGTGTATGGAGAATATTGGTGGCATTATTTGAGCACCAAATAGCACCAGGATATTAAAATCTCCTAGAACTATCACTGGTCTCTATCCAAAAGTCTACTGGAAACCATCAGCTCAGAATCTCCGGCTTTAACCATGTTTCTGTAAGCACAATAACGTGAGATGCAAACGAAAGGCTATAGAATATAAGTACTCTGGCCAGAAGTTGCGAGAGCAAATAGTGTTAAAGAGCTCGTTAGGGTCATTTATTTTGAAAGATGAAATATCCCTAGCGTAAGAAAATTTAAAATTTCCACCTTAATCTTAGTTTTATCGGCTCTGGTGTTGCCTTGTATAAAGGCGAGAACATCTTCCGATGTTTGGTCAGGGAGAGCCGCGAGACAAAAATATGTCTCGTCGGTGGAACCGCTATAAGGGCTTTTGGCAAGGCGGATTGGTTATCTGCAGTCAATATTTGCGACCCCCGGACAAATCAGAAATCACCGGCGGTACGGCCACTCCCGCTGCACATTCGGTACCGAATCTTTTCTAGAGCTCGATCTCAGCACTCTGGGAATTAATGCTGAGTCGAGGGCTGTGCCGAGGGAGGCTGCTGCTGCGAGGCCGTTTCAGGTAGTTGGGGTCCGTCTACATGCTGCCCACCAATAGCAGTTTTTTTGCGCCTAGGAGACTCATTTAATAGCGTTAGGCTATTAAATTGGGTGTCCAGCGCCAAGAACATACATACATACAACAGTTTAACGAAAACTCGTTAAAATGCCCTTAAAACCGCTTTTGGTTTGCCGTATGAAAGACATCATCCCCCTTTCTACATCGCGACAGGCCTCACAACAGAAACGCAGGCCGATGTTTTTTTTTTACATCGTCCACCGTCCGAGCTGCAACTCCAATACACTTGGCGTGCATAACGTTGTCGCACAGCCAGCAGCCGATTGTAAGGTCACCTGCAGCAATTGCCTTTTTGCAGGTTTTGACGAAACAGACGATATTTCCGGACATTATTAGAACTTACCACTGTACTTGTACTTGGAAAAAATAACAACAGAGCTATGAAGAAAGAAGTGAAGAGATCGAATAAGATAAGAAGTGCAGCGGCACAGCTAAGGTGAGAGAGTGGGAGAGCGTGGGAGATAAGCGGATAAAACCTTTAGCTGTAGCGACGGCGTGAACAAAAGCTAGACGAAGAAGGCACAAAAGGAATGCAAAATATGCAAAAGCTAGCACTAGCAGCACAACTAAACTGGAAATAAAACCAATTATATACACAAATTAGAATAGCAGCATGCACACGCGAAGTGGACGGGAAGTTATAAACACAAATTAGAAAATTTAAGTTAACCGCGGTGCTTAGATTCAAACTTTAATACAAAACGAGAGCGCAAGAAAAAACATGTCCGTTCACTTGGAAAGATGAAAGGTAGGAGATGATTTATATATATTTTTTTTCTTGGTATATTAAAAGGCTATTTATTAATATAGCTATTATTATTATTTTTAACAATTTAATTATATTGTGTTTGTTAAGTTTGTTCTTTTTATGATATTTTCAGGCCAACAGCTGCCCGAATGTGAAATTTTTCAATCTGCGACTTCCATCCGTGGATGTCTCCATGGTCCGTGGTGATGTGTCTTGTCAGTTGGCTTGGGTATTTTTGTACTTTAGCTCGGTATCTCTTCGGTGCTTCACTTAGAAAATCTCCTATTATCGGCCTCGACAGCTCTCGCTGAGTGCCAGTGTTGCGAATGTACCATTTCGCACCGGTAATACGCCTCAGGAACTTAGCTAGGAACTCTTTGCTCCTCAGCAAATTTGTTTTTTTTCGCTGCTCCGCATATGGGAATGCTATATTTCTATATAGGAAAAAGGATTGACAAATAGACTTTTCTTTTGTAAAATTAGCTTGCTGCTTTATGGGGCCCATCCACAGTAGAACATGTTGGCCGAGCATGTTGAGCTGGACGAAATTTTCATCGTTAGTGGTAGTGCTCGCGTACAAATTTCGTGTTGGTCGAGCCGCTCGAACGCAACAACATGCTCGGCAATGGATGGCAACGTTGGCACGAACATCATTTGAAGCAAACGTTTGAAGCGACAAAAACAATTTATTTATTTTAATTGAAAACTTTATATTCCAGCCAAAGGCGCAAACATTAATTGCCAAAAGTGCAATTATAGTGGCGCTGTCGTTGTCCGTTGTTATGTTTGCTTCTCAAAGATTTGCAAGGAAATGATGTTTGCGAGCATGTTGCCACTAGTTGATGGCAAATGAAATTTTTTCTCGACGAGCGGTCAACATGTTCTACTGTGGATGTGCCCCATTAGGCAGAGAGCCGACGAACTCGCTTTGCTGCCTCCTCCTGCTTGCCCCTGGTTTTCTTGATATACGATGCAAATTTGAGCCGGGAATGTAAGATTAGCCTCAGGTAGGTGAACTCCTTGTGTTGCGGAAGAAGCTGGCAATAAAGGAAGACTCCAGGGCTAGTCCCTTTCCTTCACTTCTCAGGACTAATATCCACGTTCCACCTGCACGCCCTGTCCTCAAGCTCAATTAAAAGTTGTTGAAATTATCAGTGACCTCATAAACACATTTGGAGCTGCAAAGTATGGCTATGTTATCAGCGTTGGCGGTTATGCAGTCATCCCTCCTGTCTTCTAAGTTCTTCAGCGGAGCATCGTCCATTAAGAGGCTGTTAGATAATTTCTTAGAACGCTACCTTGTAGAACTTCAGACCTAATAGAGAAGGAGCATATTCCGTCCTGAACCACCTGAAATGTCCTACGCTATACGAAACTTATGGTAATGGCATAAAGTTAAGGGCGCAAAAGTGTCTTGATCTTCGAGATCAGGCCAGGCTGCTCTGTCAAACGCCTGGCTGGTTTCATACGAGCCACTTGAGTGTACTGACCGTAGTGCATTAAAGTCCATTTATGAACTCACATCCCTATGAATGAAGGTAGAAGTAAACAAGTAAAACATTTTGTACGACTCTTTTGAAACAGAATTGGTGGCTTGGATCGATCTCGTTGCATCACCCATCTGCGGCAGACCGGAGCCTATTTCAGGCGGTCTTGCGACTGGATCATTTTCCCCAGTTAAAGTTTTTCGCTTCGGTTTTCATTTTGATTTTAATATTCTTATAAATTTGAGGTCCTCTTTATGACTAACTTAGCATACTTTATTTTATTCAAAGGGATCTTATTCTCGGAAAGACTACTACTGTAGCCAGACATGCGCTGGCGCCAAAGTTGCCACTCAATCTCCAGGAAGGAAGAAGTGCGGTGTATTGCTGGCAATAATGGCCGAAAACAAAGAGACCGGGTGTGCCGATATCACATATTTATAATTATTTTATCTTTAAGAATATGAAAATAAAATAAACATAATTAAACACAAATTAAAAAAAATTTAGATATAAACATATTTATATATAAAAATGGCTTCACTAAAGGAAAATAGAGATAATAATAGAATGGCATGAATTACATATATAAAGTACTAAATAAAATAAAAATCGAATTCGATAAGACTTTATTAATACTGCACCCAAGCTTATACCAGTTTTTGAACAAGATTTATTGATACATTACAAATAATAGAAGCAATAAAATGCGAACACGAGGAATTATATAATATAAACAAAGCTAAACGGTGTTGCCAGAAATAGCAGTAAGTGAAGTCATTTCTAGATTAAAAAGCAACGTCAAAGGCGAAACGGTAGACGTTTTGTAAGCAAAACTGATTAACTTACAGCAACGCAATAAAAGTGCTAACCAATATACATACATCATAGATTGAGCAGATGATAAAAGCTTTGTTTAATAGTTGCACAGAGGCAACTCGGCAGCCAAACACTGTCCTATACTACAAAAATTATCCCCAGCGCGGTGGAAACCGCGGACGAGGAAATTATAGATGTAACTATCGTGGTCTAATTATAAATTACAATATCTACAATAGTACCTATTATAACAATGGACTAGGCCAATTTAGAGGAAACTAGACTAAAAATAAGACAGTATATTGATTCAAAATCGAGAAATTAAGCATGGCATTTACATAGCAAATACCATAGCACCAACTTAAAAAGACTTCATAAGACTACTTAATGCTACATATAAAGATCAAGTAGTCAGCACAAATAACAGCAGTTGAATCACTTTCGAACTAATAAGTAGTCAAAATTAATAAAGAAAATAGGAAATATTCTGTATCATCTCAACTTACAAAAAAATGTCCTCCACAATTCAAATCACAGCTTCAAGCTTATGGACCAAATATAATTATATACAAGGATTGGAAACCGAACCAATAAGTACAAATAATTTTTTTAAACAAAAATGAGATTAAAAGATGATTAACAAGTATATACAAAAAACTACAGGAGCCCACACAATCAGGTGAACGAAGCACAGAAACAAGTCGGAAATTAATTACCGAAGGGTATCTGGAATATCTGGAAAATATCTGAATATTTTTTTCTTTCTGGACGTTGATGCACTACGGTCAGTACATACAAATGGCCCGTATGAAGCCAGGAACGTGCCTATTGGGTTAAGTGTCAGTAGGCGCGAATGGAAAAATAGAAAACAGGACAAGGAAATTAACTGGCGTGCTGCCAAATTGCTTGCCTGCATGTCTACTAAGTGGGCTAGAATTTAAGTTTTTAGTTTTGGAAGGATATCTACGTTGGAGATTAATGTGTAGAAATCATTATAATTTACATACAACACTCTAAAAAGTTCATGCAATTCAAATTCACTAAAGAATTATAGGATCTGGTATTTCTACTTGGTACATAGAAATTGACCGGACTCAATAAGTCAGAACTTTCCACGTCACCATGAATGAGGTTAAAGAAGAAGCTAATGCCAACCATAGATCTACGGTTAGCTAAGGATGGTAAGTTAATTAGCAGGAGCCTATTAGTGTCAGAAGGTAATCTTTGGTTTGCATTTTTGGGTCAAAGCGGACGCCCAAATCTTCAACTAAATAATTCTTTCAAAAAAGCAGCAGTTCACCGTGTAAATAGCAAGCTTAGGAGCGACACGAGAGATTGTGAAAAATATTGAGATCTGTTTGCAAATCCGACTGGCAGGCGACGTCATTGTATTGCACGCAAAGTTTGACGTCATCCGCGTACATAAGCACTCTGGAGAATGTCAAGACTTTGGGCAGGTCATTTATAAACAATGTAAACAATAAGGGTCCCAAATGGTCCCATTGGATAAATTATTCTTAAAGAGAACCTTTGCGTCCTGCCATTCAAATAACTTGAGATCCAATTAAGAAGATCACTTGGAAAACCCATTGAATCGAGTTTTCTAACGAGGAGAGAATGGTTAACAGAGTCAAATGCTTTACTGAAATCTGTATAGATTACATCTGTCTGACAAATATTATGGAAGCCCTTTATAATATAGGAAGAGAGCTCCAAAAGATTTGTTGTTGTTGGTCTTCGCTTCATAAAACCATGTTGACATGGAGAAATAACCGATCTACAAAGGTGCTGTAAGTGAGGGGTGATAATGTTTTTAAATAATTTAGGGATGGCCGACAACTTAGAGATTCCTCTATAATTGCTGGCATCCAATTTGCTACCTTTTTTGTGGAGAGGAATAATAAACGATTCCTTCCAAATAATGGGAAAGTGGGAGGTTTCCAAGGACAAGGTAAACAATTTCAGAAGGGGATAGCACAGGGCGTCGGCACAATACCTGAGCACACAGCCAGGAATTCCGTCGGGACCTGGCGAATAAACTGGCTTGACACGATGAAGATCTAAAAGGAGAGAGCTTTAGTTTAGGCTAGGACAGAAAATTAAGTTTGATTTGGGTATGTCGTAGGAATAGGTCTGGTGTAGATACGAAGAGCTAGAATAGGTTGTTTGAAAAAACTGCGAAAATAGATCGGCCATTGCCTGATCATTATTTGCGGTAGTATTTTCTAATGAAAGCAAGGAAGAATTAATTTTAGGCTTACGTTTAGTGTTAACAAAATTATAAAACTCTTAAATAGTTTTTATAACACTGCGCGTTCAGAACGGTAGTTTGCCTAGATTTTTTATTTTTATGTCGGTTGAGCTCTTTAGTAAGTCACGGAGGTTTATTTGAGATTGGCGGATAGTATAACGGAACATGAATTCATTGTAATTGTCATTGTAAAAAATATCCACAGCAATTGCCATGTTAGTGCACATGTATAGATCGGACCAATTGAACTCGTATATAAAATTATTCAGCAGTTCAAAGTCCGTTTTGCGAAAACAGAGGACCGCCCTGGCTAAACTGATTGTCGCAGGATCAAAGACGAAACAAAGATCGAGCAAGCGCTGTAAGGAATTTCGCAGATGGTTTACTTGAGACAGCGAAATGTCGAACAAGCCAGCGATAAAGTCATGATGTGTAGAAGTTAGGAGAGTATTGGTGGAATTATTTGACCACCAAATAGCACCAGGGTTATTAAAATCACCTAGGAGTACCAACTGGTCTCTATCCAAAAGTCTACTGGAAATCATCTGAATAGAGGAAAGGTGATTCCAATTAATAGGAAGTTCCAACAACGGAGGTATGTAGGAATAGGGAATAAAATGGAGCTACCATCACACAAAGGAATTCAACATCGTTGCATTCCTCGAAGGTTAATAATTCTGACGTGAGTGAGGTGTTGTGTGTTCCTTCTTTTGAAATAAGTTTCACTCCGGATTTGTTTTATGAACCGATTGGTTCGGCTTGTCTTTTATTAATGTTTTATTGAATCTTAGACTAAGGCTTGCTAGCTGTCGGCGCAGCGGCAGAATAGCCGTTTTATCTTATACATAAGTAAAGTATGTAAAGTCAAATAAGAGAGTCGCGCATGCATATATGTACACATATGTATATGAGCGGTCAGCGTGGGAACTATGCTGACTCGGCTCTTATGCGAGTAATGCATTCAGTGCATCTCGTATTACGTTTGCACTTGAAACGTATTTAGGTACTTGGCACGCTGTCGATGAGTGACAAAGGCAATGCCCTTTTGTATATTTATGTTGTGCAATATGAACTCATATATGCATACACTACTCTACATGTTACTTATTACACTATACTACATCTCCCTCCTTTTGAAAAATAACGTAATTTCATGGAGTTATTTATTTCTTATTATCATAATAATTGTTTTTTTGTTGTTTTTTTTTTTTTTGTTTTTTGTTTTTTTTTTTTTTTTTTTTTTTTACTAACAATAAAGGAAATGAGTTCTTAAAAGATATTTATTCAAAGTTATTTATATGTATTATTATCTATATATGTTATTATATATGTATGGCCATACTTAGTGCTATTATGAAATAAAGAGTTTTAATCTATCCTTATGAACTGTCTGTTTTTTGTTTTTGTCATTAACTATTATGACATTGTTTCTATCTCCTATTTCTGTTACTTTATACGGGCCGGTATATTTATAATCTAACTTATGACCTGTTTCATTTCTTAGTAAACTTTATTTCCTACTGATATATCTATATTGTTTACTTTCTGATCATATAGTACTTTCGTTTTATCTTATGATCTTCTATCATTACTCTAGCTCTTTTATAAGCTGCTTCCAATCTGTATTTACTCTCCTTAGCATAGTCGTCTATATTATATATTGTTTCTATGCTATCTATGCTATTAAAGTGTTGCGGTAAATTACTTCGTTTACCGAATACTAATTCATATGGACAATAATTATGTGCCATAGAGGGTGTTGTGTTGAAACAAAAGACAAAGTATTGAAGCCATACGTCCCAATCAGTTTTATCAACCGATATATAAGATCGTATGTATTCATTAAATGTTCTATGACTTCGTTCTATTGTTCCAACGGTCTGATGGTGGTGCTGTTGATGTTATATTTTTAATATTTAAATATTTGCACAAATTGTCTATAATTGAATTCTTGTATTCTGTTCCCATGTCCGAAATGAACGTCTTCATTGGACCGTACTTCAGAATAAAAGATTCAAATATTGCTTTAGCGACAGTGTTAGCATTTTTATTTGGTACTGGTATTGCAACTAAATATTTAGTTAAGTCAGATATAAAGTGACTGCATACTCGTTACCATTTTCTGATTTTGGTAGCGGACCAATAGTGTCCACTATCACTCTGTCGAAAGCATTTATTGGGATATCTGTTATTGTAGTGGGGCCTTACTATGTTTAGTTATTTGGCTTTCTGGCATTTCTGACATTTTCTTATGTACTCAGTGATATCACGAGTCATATTTTTCCAAAAGTAATGTCTTTTTATTTTTGCTATAGTTTTTGAAATGCCTGTATGACCACCTTGTATGGATCGTCATGAAAATTAGACAGAATGGCTTCTTTTCTTTTTGTTTATCTATTAGGGTCACCGGGTTGAGTAGCGCTACTCTTAGTGTTTCAATATTTTATTGCCCATTAATTTGAAATTATCTATTGAAATATATTCAAAGATATTTTCCCACGGTGCCACTTTGAGTTGGCTGATTTCATTTATACCGGCTTGCAGTTCAAGCCTTTGGAAAAATTGACCTAAGTCTAGAGTTCCATTGGTATATAAATCGCTAACATCGTATCTTGCAGTAATTTTTTTGCCATGTTTAAATGAACATAACATATTTTTACGTGCAATGTCACTACTTTACGTACTTCGTCATTGTTTATGACTTCGTATACGTTGGGCCTAGAAGCTGTAGTTAAAGATTGCGTTGGCAATTCTTTTTCTTTATTTTCCGCGCGGATTTTCTGTCTATTTTGGTATCTTGTAGTGACTTTATTTATATTTCCAGTTATATTTTGTAATTCTTTGATGGTTGTTCTTGATAACGCATCAGCTACATAGTTGTCTTTTCCTTTAAATATTCAACTGTAAAATCATATTCTTCTAATTCTAGCCTCATACGTGTCAGTTTAGAACTTGGATTGATCATGGAAAAAGATATATTAAGGGTCTATGGTCTGTTTTTATAGTGAAATGTTTTCCATATATATATGGTCTAAAATGTAATATTGCCCAGTGTATTGCAGCTAATTCCTGCTCAGTAGTACACTTATTACTTTCTCCTTTAGTAAATGATCTAGAAGCATAAGCAATGGGAAGTTGGAGTCCATTATGGTTTTGAGTTAAAACCGCTCCACATGCTTGTTTGCTTGCATCCGTAATTATACAAAATTCTTTATTAAAGTCGGGGTATTGTAATAATGTTGGTTCCATTAGTTTTGCTTTTAAATATTCGAATGCGTTTTGGCATTCAACTGTCCATTCAAAGGGAACATTCTTTTTACATAATCTAGTTATGTGCCGTGAATATTCGGCGAAGTTTTTGATGAATCTTCTATAATAGTTGTAAAAAGCTACAAAACGTCTAGCGCTATCCGCATTGTGCGGCACTGGATAATTCATGATGACGTCATATTTCTTGTCATCTGGAAGTATTCCTTGTCTGTGCATTTATGACCTAGAAAAGTCACCTCATGCATGAAAAATGAACATTTTTCTGGATGTAACTTTAGATTGTATTTCCTGCATTTCTCAAAAACGTCTGCTAGGTTTTTAAGCATATGCTTTTCGGAACAACCTATAACTATAAGTCATCCATATAAAGGAATGCTTGTGAAGGTTCTAATCCAGAGAATGCAATAGTCATCATCCTCTGAAATGAATTAGGCGCTATTTTTAAACCGAAAGGCAATCGCGTGAAACGATACGAGCCTGTGCTTGTTGAAAATGACGTTATATCTCGAGAAGATTTTTCGAGTTCTATTTGGTGAAATCCTGACATAAGGTCAAGGCATGAAAATATTTTGCTCGCCCTAGTTGATCTAAAATATCGTCATTCTAGGGAGTGGAAATTTATCGGACAATAATTTTTTGTTTATTTGACGAGAGTCAATTACCAATCGCCATTTCTTTGAATGAGAACCGGGAGGTGATTTTTAGGGACAAGTAATAATGGCTATTGTATTCAGATACAGAAGGTTCT